TATAAAAGCATGGTAAAATGATAGCAGTCATTACACATGTTGTGTGAACCTCATACTTCTGTGTGTGGTCAAGATTGTTGCATAGCTGTATATTCTGCAATGGTATCATATCAGAGTTGGAGGCACTTATCAGTTTAGGGGGTTAAGGCATATTGGCCATTTAATTATCACTTTATCACTTCACCCTTTCCTTCTTGCTCGCGTAAATCAACGGCTCGCTGAAAATGAGCAACGCGCGGCAAAGCGTGTTAACCGATTTAATTCTTTCTCGGTATTTGCGCGTATACGGACGAGCATTTCCCGTTACACTTGGTTACACTTAGTAGCACTTGTAGTCATTCCAACGCAGACTATTCGATAGATTCAATGTGAACACCACAGGCCGCCCTCCGATCAACAGGGAGGAATATTCATTCCTAACACAAGTGTATGGTGAAGCTGCGAGCTTTAATCGGTGATCACGCGGTCTTCGATAAGCTTCAAATGGATCAAGACGCCATAACTTGACGTTTGGCAAATTTAGCGGTGATTAAGCAAAAGTTATAAGGATTTTTATAACACAACATACCGAAGCCAGCTTCGTCACCTAGTCGTAACACCGTCGGTACACACGGAAGGTCCCGTTAAATTCATGGTGAAAATCTTGCGTTTTGGCAGCGAGAAATGGACATCGCTATCGCGTTGGCCCAAATTCGTGATGACCGCTGCCAAGTGGCTTCGCCGTGCCGCACTTGGATGGCCGTGTGAAAGCTAGGGTGGTGGCATGGGAAGTCAACCGCCCTGGCTACGATAACCGTCGAAGCATTTGTCATGCCGTTAAGACAACAGCACATTATACGACTATATACAGAAGCCTCGTGAGCTTCGTGAGGATATAGCAAGTGAATCATTGCCCGAGGCAGTGATGGTCACTGTGTTTATGGAGGGCCTCCCTCACCTATGATCCTTCTAAGACTGAAATTCTCGCCAGAGTCCAACGACTCTGGAAGATGCAGTTATGATTCCATTGCATGAGGACTAGTGCCAACGTCAAGCACGTGATCAATCGGTCAATCCGATGGAAACAGTGACTCCTGCTTCCGGAAATCCAAAACTAATGGAGCTCAGCACGATAATTGTCCGTGGGCAGCAAATTCGCTGTTATGGATGTCAACGATTTGGTCAGACAAACCGCTCCATACGGTTCTTATCTTTGTGATCCCAAGCCATGTGGTACCAATATCAGAGGAATTTGGGAAACGCCGGTGCCCGGTCGACGCAGGGCGGTCTACTGGGGCAATTATAAAGCCTTGTGAGTGTAGTGTTAGAATCACTCACAAAGGATTGCCCTTGGAGGATTGTTATCCTTCGTTAACGACATAAATTCCTCGTAGTCCACTAGACCCTAAACCCTAAACTCTAGTCACAGAGAGTGTGAAGGGGCCGTTTTTAGCCTTGATTAACGCTGGCGCGTCGCGTAACTATACGCGGAAACAAAGTGTTGCTGACGATGGCTCCGTTCTTTCAGATGCACCAAATAGAAGCAATGGCTTTATCTGAGCGAAATTGAGCATTGGTGCTGTCGTCACCGCGAAAAAAGGTATGGTTGATCTCAAATTGAAGTTTAAAGACTTTATCTCGATGAAAGCTCTCGAGATGGTCAAACGATCGACCTGATTTTAGGCGTACCGTGGCTTATGCACGAGCCATGGGTTGATTGGTGATCGAATATGATTGGGAGTAGCTCTCCCGGCGTGGGTGAAACCGCTAGGAGTAATGAAATCACATTCACTATGCACCGAAAGAAGCGTTCAAGCGCTTGGCAGTCGTATGCGGCTGGAAATAATCCACACTTCTTTGATATATGTCATGTAATTTCTGCAGGTCAGAGATGATACGAAGCTGTATGGAGTGCCCTCTGATGGTCACTAAGGATGTGTGTCGACAGATCATGTGGTGCCCGGAACAGATCACATGAAAACGAATGAATCGTTGGTTGGCATGGCGATTTGCCGAACGGAAAGAATACTTGTTGTTGCCCCCCCCTCAAGACGGGAGAATGTTTTTCGAAATTTGTGTACTGGAAAGTCGAAGATATTGACCACGGATGATATACGGCAATACGCCCACTCACACAGTGGCTTAGTTGGATTGAAGGTCAGTGGATATAACTGATCACACAGGTGATGCTACAATCGTTGTGTGGCTAAGCACACAAATGTGAAGGAACCAACGGAATTTGCTGATTGTGGTACTGATACTCCCGCTTAGGATGCGGTTGACTCCGCGGAAGAGTTTTTCCAGCGTACTACTCCCCATGATAAGGCTGTAGCATGCAAATATGTTGGTCCACATATTGTGAATGCAACGACTGGTTGTGATGTTGCCAGAACAGATATTCTTTTGGCACTGTTGCCGACATTGAAAGAGCTGGTTCAGCTTGTGGAAGTCACTTACGACGATTTCATACACGACCTCGAGTGTCATGGTATTGAGGATGCCGTGTTGCTCCATTAGAAGGTCAGTTCAGCGGAACTACGCTCATCATCAGTTACGGATGACTCGGCTCTCGAAAGAATTTCGACAGCGTGTGGAATCACGCAGACTTATCATTATCATTCGTTGTTATGGAACACAAGGATGACGTCCTGAGTACGAAGCCGCCCTCCGGTCTTCCATCCAAACGTGGATTTAGACACGATAATCATCGTGAACCCGGTTCACAGTATGCAGTGCTTCGACAGTGGCCACTGTCGCGTGAACAAAGTGAGTATGCAGTGAGTTCTTTGCTCAAAAAAAAGCTGCCGGTTTGGTGAGGAAAAGCAAGTCCCCTCATAGCGCGCCGACGTTTTGTGTGCGCAAGTCAACGGTGAATGGAGTATCGTTCACGTCTATAACAAGTTAAATGCGCAGACGATTTCCGCTCAAACGCTGAATTCGCGCAAGGATGTCATCATCCACCGTATGTCTGGCTGTATACCGTTTAGTGTACCTGCTTTGGTTGATTGATCTTGATGAGGAGGAGGGTGTCTTTTCGACGGCTGTGAGTACACCGTCCGGTATGTCATGGGATCTGCTTGTGCTGCCACAGAGACTATCCAATACTCAGTACCGTTCAATTGATTGGTCTCCCATCTGTTTCGAACATTACGATGCTTTGCACAAACCTATTTTGCCGATATCTTTGTTCATTCGAAGGACGAAGATGGCAGACCTGCCGAAGAAATGCACTTGGAGCACCTCCGTGCAGTGCTGAAATGAGTGCGTGAAAATTCATTGCAAGCGAATCTTGCAAAGTATAACTTGGTGCTAACAAAGTACCAGCCTTGGTTGTTATGTTTGTGAACACGGTGATTGTGCAAACCCTGGAAAGGTCAAAGCAATCGTGAAGTGGCCAATAACCTGCATTGGATCTCGGGTAACTACGCGGAAATGGTGCACCCACTATCAAACTTGTTAAATAAGGACGTATCACGGGAATTTACATCCACTTGTGAACAAGCATCCACTCAGATCAAGCACAGTTTGATGGAAGCAGCATTACTTGCTTTACCAGATGACACGAAGCATATAGCGTGGTGTGTGACGCTTTGAATTTGCAATCGGTTGTGCATTTTTGTTAAAGGACTCAGAAGAACACGGTCGTGTTGTGTCATCCCAATCGCGACAGACTAGCCTAGCAGAAAAGGACTAACCTGTCCACGACGAGGAGACTTTGTCAATGAAGTATGCTCTGGTGAAGTTTCGTGTTCAGACACTATAACCGATTGATATGGAACTCCATGACAAGCTTCATAGTTGCTTAAAGTCATGGATGTATTGCCATGCAGTTAGGAATGGCCTCCTTCACTATGAAGATGCACATGACGACGAGCAGCGGATTGAGGTTCTCCACAACGATAATTTGAGGCACAAGATCGTGTACGACGCGTATGATACGCCGATGGCCGATCATTTGGCCGAAAGAAGACCTACAAATCTCTCAGTGCCCTATTTTGGTGGCCCCACATGAACAAGAGGTTTGCACGCTATGTGAAGACATGTGATGTTTGTCAGTGCGTGAAGAGCGCAGGCCCACCCAAATCCCGCTGCAGAGTTTCTCTGTTCCTACTGGCAGCTGGAAGTCAGTAGGTCTCGACTAATCTTCGTTCCTC